TGGGCTTTTACACAGTGTGAATACATTTCCACATTAAGTAATTAAATGTAATAGCTAATACCTCCCTTCCCACACTAAGGCTTTATGTAAGTCATGTAATTATTTTTTTTTTTATCATTCATGGTAAAAGCACCATGCCGGAAAGAAACCTGTCACAATGTTACAACAATATGCAAATCTCTGGGTACAGGAGCTGTGGCGAGGAGGCCCCTCCTGATGAGCCCATTTGTGCCCGTCTGCTGGGCACTGTGCACATCAGGTGTCCGTGGGCACACGACAAATAAACAATAATCAGGGGAAAGCCTGCTTACCAATCAGCTGCTAAACAGCAAGCAGGGGCTGGCTGTACACCCACAGGCCCCTGCGTTCCCCTAATGAGGCCAGGAGGCGTGGAAGGGGTTGTGACATGTCATACCTAGTGCCTTCCTTCCTCCACTTTTCTGTTTCTATTCCTTTAAGTAGCGTGTGTGGCGAGTCTGTGTGCCCCTGGGTTCCACTGGCAGCAAAGGACTCTTAGTAGCCCAGGTGAGCAGACTTCAACTGAATTCAGTTAAGAGGCTGTAGAAGTTCCACCTTGCTCGCTGTTACACGCATTGGCCTCCAGAGGGCACTGTGAACCCAAAGCAGAGTTGCACAGAGGGTTCCAGAGGCAAAGCCAGCTTTCCAGATTTAGTGGGCGGGGACAAGGCAGCTGTGCCTTAAGTGTGTTGCAGCCACAGGACTCCCGGGTACCACGCACAAATGAAACTGGCCCGTTGCAACTTGAGTTTTTATCTAAGGTTTTCAACTTCTGTCGGGAAGGCATCTCTTAACTATACACAACCTCTTTCTTTTATGGCTAAGAGATTATTAGACATTATGGCTAAGAGATCTTGTAGTTTTGACATTTTATGTTGAATGTCTGGGAATTAAAAAGGCATTACAGAATATTTATCATGAAATGGGGGCTTGTAGGCCTAGAAGGGATTCAAGACCATTAGCCTAAAAAAGAATGGTTAAGTTTCTGTGCAAGCTTTAAAAGAAAATATTTTTAGTTACTCCTGAAGTTGTTTAAATTGAACTTTCTAGGTCAACTGTCTTTCTATGAAGAAAGACAGTTCTCGGTACTGCTCCCAGAGGGGGACTAGTGTGTGGGCTTGCACAGCTAGGGTCTCCTCAAGTAGGGTCGGGGCTCTCGGATCACCTGCCCCTTCTTCTCTGTAGCTGGCTTTACCCACAGAGCGTTTCAGCCTGAGACACGGTGCTTCTTTCTGATCTCTTGTTTTGGCCAGCGCTTAGCCTCCACATCGTCTCCACCCACTTCCTTCTCTTCTCTCCAGTGTCCCACCTGTTAGCTCACCACCCACACCTTCTCTGGGATGAGGAGACTCCAGGGCGGCTCTCTTGGAGCTTCCACTTAGGAGGGCTGTACGTAGTACTCACTCCTAAAATAGGTCTCCGGTCCAGACTGCCTGTTCCCGATTTTAATAGCTTTTTAAAAACCCAATACAACTCCAGATCCCCTTCAGGCTGGCCTTTCCCTGCTCTCCTCAATTTCAATGAATCGTTGCACCAGTCCAATCCCTGAGGGGCACACTGGAAAACTCTGAGCCATCTTTCATTCCCTGTCTTCATCCTCACAGCTGATTCACCGTCAGATGATATCAGCGCGATGCTGACACCACACTCTAGTGCCGTGTTTCCAGCTGGCTCTGGCAGGCAGCTTGTCCTCCACGAGGCTACTCCTTACTAAATAACCAACACACTGGTCCCCAAGTCTCCTACTCAGTGCCCCAAAGGCTTCCCAGAAGACTACAGCCCTCACACGGATGCCTCTAGCCATGGAGAGTATAGTGAGTCTCAGGAATAGCAGTCCTACTTAGAACATCATGGAAGAAGAGAGGTTAAAAGCCTTCCATCATGCATACCCCTGGCATCTTAGACCTATTGTTCTGGGGACAGTGTGCAGCCCTGGGTTCATCAACTCAAATTGTGGTTTTGTTGCATTTAGTGACGACATTACCCCCCCCCCCCCCCCTCAGTCCTTTTGCTAAGAGTGGAATGTCTTGTGGCTACACCATGCTCCACCAGGCCCTGTGCTGCCCTCCAGTCAGGTCAGAGCTGCCAACATGGGCAGAAACCTTGAACGTTAAGGCTCATCCTAACAAGCCCCCTGACCTGCTGTGTGGCTCCCGCTCTTCTGATTTTCTTGCCGGGGGTAGGGTCCCTTTGGAATTGTAACTGCACCACATCTCTCATGTTATTGTTTTTGTTTAATTATTGCTATAAAGGTTAAATTTTCTATTTGTTATATTTGTTTTTAGACACTGGGCATTTTTTCAGTGTTTACCGTAAGAGTTATCTTAGTTTTTCTGCAATTATTGATATACCTCTGGTCACGATAGGAATATAATCTAACTAAACAACCATTTAATCGCACCTTAACCATCCCAACCAAACCTTTTCCCCAACTTGTACCTGCACACTCATGCAGGATCAAGGATCAAGCTTTCTTTAGCCTGTTTTCCCTACAACAGAACTCCTTCAGCATCCTGTGGGTCGTTTAAGTCACCTCTCCTTTTCCTTAGTTCACCTCTGCATTATCCAGGTTGTCTTTGGAGGCAGAAGGTCTTCAAACTCGTTTACTTATATTAACATCTCACAGTTTTATGATTTTTTTTTTTTTGTGTGTGTGTGTGTGTGTGAACAAAGCATGGATTTATGGGGTTGAGCAGTCGGATTCAGGGCAGAGATTTTCTTGAGTAAACTCATTTTACACAGAGTAGTGAGGAAAACAGATGTGAACGAAGAAAAGACCGCCAGCTTCAATCAGTTGTAGAGAAAAATAGAAGCAAGAAGCACAGCCAAACTGATAGATCAACCTATCAGCCAATCAGATATGAGCAGGATATGGCAGGGACAATCTAATCAGGGACATCCCCAGATGCTATATTACTGGCCACGGGTAATGCCAATCGGATGTTAAGTGTCCATCAAAGGACCGTGTGTTAAAAGCTTGGTCCCCAGAGTGGTGCTACTGGGGGAGGGTGAAACCTCCAGAAAATCATCTCCTTCTCAATAAAGCAGTCAATTGTCTCTGGTCACCCACGCTAATAGCCTTCACTCTTTTGTTGTTGGGGTCTCCTTTGAGGAATTCCAGGAAGAGATCCCCTTGTCATTCTCTGGCTGTGTGAGATGGCACTCTTCTGTACCCGGGCGGGGGAGGGGGGGACTCTCATATTTTATCCTGTCTCCTCATGCCAGAAAAATTAGATATCGAAGAAAATAGAAAACACAATTGGTTATGTCTTATGAACTGGTTTGCCCCTCCATCTGTTGGATATTAGCAAATGTGTGTTTCAGGCCAAGGTCCCCGAAGATGTGCCTGAAGGTGTCAATCTCACTGGGCTGCCCAGAGCAGGTGGCTTGGGCTTATGCTTATGCTAGTGAGACATAGTTCAGGAAGTCCACTGCAGGCTCTGGAGATCGCCTCAGACACAAGGAACATATGGGAGTCCAGTGTGGGGAGACTGAAGACTAAATATAGTAAAAGTGATGACAACTTCCTGAGAGGTGAAAAGTGAGACTGAAGCCCCGCAATCCTGCTCTCCTGGCCTGGCTCAGGATGCTAGGTGTGACACTTCTCTATTCTCAGGCAGGGAACCTGGAATAGGGTGACATGTGGGTAGCAATGCTTGTGGGGCCTGCAGAAGGTAGCCACAAGAATTCGGTGGTCTTCTCCAGGCTGGGACACAATTTACCCCCTAATGGGTCTGAACTTGGAAAGAAACATTATAGAGAGCATACTTCCTTCTTGAACGCATGGAAATGCCATTATTATCATCGCACCAAATGAGGTTTATTAGGAGTCTGTGAAGAGTATTCAAGATCCCTAGGTGTCCTGTGGTTGAAAGGACGATGCAGTTTACGAATTTCTTATGCCCTCTTTGAGTGACTCAAGTGTTGTCTCCACTCTTTCTGAAAAGCATGCCATGGAAGCATGCTTGTGAACAGCTACATTTGACAGAGAACACACCAGCCCGCTCTCTTAATACTTGGGCAGTCGATTCTGGGTAAGTCAATCCCTTCTTCCCTACAGCAGGGATACTAGCAGCCAAGGAGGAACCCCACAACAAGTTAATGCAGGGACAAGTCAAAAATCTAAACGTGACATAGTTGGAGACTTGTCATTTTGCCTCTGGCTGTTCTGTGTTGCATCCATTAAAGCTGGTGAGGGGAGGGGATGGGAGGCTTGGAAAATGGGTTAATGTTTCAAGCCTCTAAGTGTGATTCCCCAGCGTCCCTTTCACCATTCTCCAGGAAGTGTTAAGGCAGCCACACTGCCTACTGCATTGCTGGTTTAGCTGCCCTCTGAAGTAGCCCTCAGTCCCAGGCCAGTGGATGCCAGGGATTCTGGCCTGTCTATGAAGGCCAAGAACAGCGGGCATTACTTCCACTAGCCTGCTCTGGTGTTACTGGAGCTGATGAGGCTGACTACCCTCATCAGCTTTTAAGAACTGACATGAGGAAATCTGCGGGCAACTGCTCTTCCTGCGATGGAGGACAAAGCAAGCAATGGCAATGTCCTTGAGGGGGTGCCTGTGGCATGGAGCCCTGGGCCCTGAGCAAACATGGCTCAGCCTGGACTTCTCAGAAGCGCTTGTTCTGCACGGCAAATGAAACGGCAGAGGGGTAAGTCAGGGACCTAGATCTGCAGGGCTGGGCCAGAAGAGGTTTGGCTTGCCAGGTTGTGGGAAATGAAAGGAGAAAGTTCATAGAGAGACCATAGCTCAGCTCATGGAGGAATCTACTTCCTGTGAGTCCTAGTCCTGGACAAGATTATGGGCTAAGGTTATGTTTCAAGGAGTTGGCCTGGTTCCCCTTCTTGGCCACTGTAGCTTTTAGGACACTCTTCAGAGAAGGGACGGCCCTTCACCTGTATGTTCTTCCCTTCACCTCCCCCATCCAGCGGACACATAACCACCCCCATCCCACCAAGCAGCTTTTTCTCAGAGGCCTACCTTGGGTTTGAAGGCAATGAGCTTCAGGATCATCTCCACCGTGAAGAGGCCAGTGAAAAGCATGTTGAGTATGTTCATGGCGATTTTGAAGAGGCAGCTCTGACCATAATGCTAAGTGGAGGGAAGGGGAAGACCATGAACCTAAGGCCGAAGGCCTTCGGCTCTTTATCACCTTTGTCCCACCTTTGTAGATGCCCCCATTTCCACAGAGATCTTCCTTAAGCCGGCCTCAGAAAGCTGCCCGCCATACCTGTAGCAGTCAGGTGGGGTCTGGAGATGCCACAAGCTCTTACCTTTCCTACTGCCTCCTATTGGGGTTGGGGGCAGAGATCTGAGTTCCTAATGATTCCATGATGACTTCTGCGGATTTCTGGCGCAAGCCCTGACCTCCCTGTAGTGGGGTGTTAAACCTACTCCCACACTCCTTGTGATGGTGACTCTTGGTTCCTTATCCCCTCTAGTCTCTGTTATCAATGCAGGGCCCCAGGGATCCTTTTGTAAGTTTTCAGAGGAACCTCATCCCTGAGAAGGGACTCTTCCATTTCCCCTACTCTTCTGTCTCTCTGACTTTCCCAGCTACAGGCAGATGGCCACTTGATCTGGCCCTGCAACTCCTTCTACTCCATCCTTCCTCGGCATTTTCCCTAGGTTAGCCCCGCCATAGACTGACCTGCATGGCCAGGCAGATGGTGTTGAGCAGGATAAGGACGAACATCAGGTACTCGAAGTAGGTAGAGTTGACCACGTACCACACTTTGTACTGGTGTTGGTTCTTGGGGATATACCTTCGCAAGGGTCGGGCCTTAAGGGCATATTCCACACATTGTCTCTGAAAGGAACGAAGACGTTGAGGTACTTGGAGAAAGAGTAGGGAAGGTGAAGGGTGTGTGACAATAAAAGGTAGGACGTACGTGAAACCATAGCCTGGGAAGGGGTTCTTGGCAGGTAAAATGCTTTTGATTTTTCTGATATCCCTTATCAGGGACAAGGGCCCTTTCCATCGAATCTTCCCTAGATTGCAAGCAAGGAGCTCAGCTCCTTTTCTCCAACTGGTAATGACTAGTGAGTCGCTCAGCGAGTGCTTGGTGCCTGACAAATACTGGTTAGTTTTTAGCTAGTCTCACTGGTTATGTCCCACACCACAGATCATTCATGAGGTGCCTTTTGCCTAATTTGTTTTTCTATCTTAAATCTTTCTTTACTGTCTAGCATCTACAAGATGAGAAGACACAGGTCCGGAGAGAAATTCTTGTTCTAACTAGAATCTTGGGAATACAGAAAATGTCAGCCCACCTCTATGCACAGCACCCAAATCCCTAAATCAGGAAGCAGAAAGCCATTTCTGCCTGCTTGGCCCTTGGCCATCATGCCTCATCTCTGAGCCTTGCCAATCTCATCCCTTACTTTTCCATCTTTACTACAATTAACTGACACTATGTCAGGCTCTCTACATGCCTCGTCTACACTTCCCGATTGGCTTTCCTCCTTGTCTGTCTTTCGACACTAAGTCTACACAGTAGCTTAAATACTGAATCTAAACCTAAGTAGCGGACATCAAACCCCACAAAGGCTCCAGCTTTCCAGGCACGCATCGAGCTGGGCATACCGGCTGTGTCCTCACGAGCTGGCCTTATTAAGAACATGTTTCCACATGGGTTCCATTGAGAGTGCAAAGGGAACTGACTTTCCGAGTGCCACACTGATGTCCACCCCTAAGAGCACATTACTCACCCAGGGAGTTGCTAGCCCTTTCTCATAAGCTAATGGAGTAGATTCTAGTCCTTGGTATCACTGTGTCACTCCCACTTCGGACTCTCTTCTCATACCCGCTGCTCAGAACCCTGTTTTGCTTGAGAAGCCATCTAAGTGGTTTCCTAAAACTGTTCTCTAGCCCACCCTAGCCCTCTCTCTGACCCATTCTCCTAGTTTCTTTCTCCTTTGTCAGTGGCGCCAACACACTGTGCCACAGTATAATTTACCAATTTGTAGGTACGACATACATTTCTTTTCCCACATTGCCTGAAGCAAGGTGCTGCTAAATGGAATCTTCGAAAATATTTTCTGACTGAACACATTTTCAAGACTTGGGATTTTCAAGGATTTGCTGTCTATCAGGGCTGAGAAATGCGGGATCCCTATTTCTGCTGCAGGGATTTGGAGCAAACACCCTGTTCTGCTGGATAACAGAACAGAGGACCTTGGTTTCCACACACGTCTTTCCAAAAACCCTGGTCTCCCTTCTGAGTGGGTCTTTGAAAGCCACTTTTTGCCCTGCCTTACATGGGCCCTGCTTCCTCCCTCTCCTTCCCAGAAAGCTACCTGGTTCTTGTCCAGCTCACAGTTCTTATACTCTTGTTCCCCCTGCTCCTGGAAGGTGACAATGACGAAACCCACGAAGATGTTCATCATGAAGAAGGCGATGATGATGATGTAGATGATGAAGAAGATGGAGATCTCCACACGGTAGTTGTAGATGGGGCCCTTGTCTTCTGTGTGGGAGTCGATGGAGCGGTACAGCAGCCTGCAGGAGGAGACAGGCTCACAGAGTGAACTGGAGGGGCAGTGTCACCTCCATGACATGATGGCACCCCTGCTCCCAGGGACCCCTGCAACCAAAGGAAATAGTCCAGGCTGGGGCCAGAGGGGCTGGACTCAAATCCCATCCAAGCAGACCACTGAATGAATCTCTTTGGCACCGAGTCCGCAACTGTCAAGTGGAAATGATAATTCCCTACTTTCCTATCTCACAGGGCAGCTGATACAATATATGCACAGTGTTTTGAAACTGTCAGGAGCTATTGAACTGCAACATTCATCACTGACATAAATTTCAAATACGGAAAGATCGGGTAAATATTGAAACAGCTTTGTAAACTGGCATCCTCCGAAGAGGTGAGGCCAAACACAAAGTAAATCCGAGGGAAAAAAAAATTCATTTAGACAAAATAAAAATAACATGATCTCGGATAATTCACACCAGCCGCAGTGGTTTAGATCATGCTTATGTATATCCATAAGTCTGTCGCTCATTTCAGTCTGGGCTAGGGGACCAGTTAAGCTTGTTTTTCATAGGACCAGGGTGATTTCCTCCTCTTCCTTTGTAATCAACTAGTATATGGCTATTCTCTGAGTATCACTTATATACGGCAGATCCCGTTCATGTATGGAGACATAGGTGTTTAAACCAAGATCCAAAGAGCACCACATGAACGACTGCATGCTACCCGCGGTGCTGTGTGAAGGCTCATGAGCTGGTCTGTGGGGAAAGTATCACATCTGCAGAGGGACTGGGTCCCTAGCTTTCGTCTTCCTCATTTGACACTGTCAGTGTAGGCGAGGCTTTTTCCGGGGAGAATGGCAGGGAGTCTAATCAGACAGACACCTCTCATCTACCTTCATCCTTGTCAGCTACACATGGAGGAGGGGTGGCAAACGGCACCTGTGCAATGATCAAAGGTTCACACCAGAGACATTCTCTCTGTACTCAGAGACTCCTAGTCTTGTGACCCACAAGGAGCTTTGGAAAAAAGAGTTCAAAATGTATCCATTTTTGGTTGGGTTTTTGAAAACGTGTCAGGTGTCTTGAGTGGCACGGAGCTTGTATAACATACACAAGGTCCTCAGTGAAACGCCCAGCACCCTCTGCCCTAATAGTTTAAGTGTCTGCTTTTTTTGTTTGTTTGTTTGTTTGTTTTGTTTTGTTTTGTTTTTGTTTTTGAGACAGGGTCTCACTGTGTAGTTTTGGATGCCTTGGAGCTCACTACCCAGACTAGGCTGACCTCAGACTCACAGAGCTCCACCTGTCTTGGAGATCTACCTGCCTTTGTCTCCCTGGTGCTAGGATTAAAGGTGTGCTTCTCCATGCCCAGCTGAAAGTCTAAGTTTCTGCAGGAATCACATCTCACAGGAGTTCTTGAAACAATCTCACTGCCTGGGGACAATAGAAGTCTGACCTCTGGGAAGAATTCAGGGAGTTAACAAGCCAGTGTCTCGACCCTCTAACGTCAGGGTTGTGAGTGTTGGTGTTCATACTCACTCTGGCCACCCCTCAAAGGTGGAGACGGTGAACAGGGCCATCATGGCTGCCAGAACATTGTCAAAGTCAAACTTGCTATTCTCCCAGCTTCGAGGCTGGATAATGGGGTGGTCAACCTCTCCGTCTTTGTACGTGATATAGTTACCCCTGAGAGAGGAAGAGAAAGAGGTAATCATGGGGTGTCCCAGATCTTCACCACCAATGATTCCCAGCATGCTGGGTGGGATACAACCATACCATTCCAGCCATCAGAAGAGTTGGTGGATAGAACGTGGAGGAAGGGATAGAGTCACATGTCAGGCGATACAAACATGTGTCAGGTAACAGGGTGGATCAGAGGACAGTCTTTACCCCTCAAGCCACCAGCCTCCCCTGAATTAACTAGCCCTGGCTCTGGGAGCCTGCTAGCTTATACTCACTTGCATTCTGCCTCTGTCTGTTTGGAACTATCAGAACAGGTATAGAGCTTTCCCTAGAAGAGAAGAATGAAGGGATCAGAGGCGCTCCTCAAGGGATGGATTCGGCAGAAGATGATCAGTGAGTATGTCTGTAGCACAGGCCTAAGTTCAAGCTTTGGGGATAGTGGGGGTGATGAACACAGTCCAGACACAGGGGGCATGGTTCACAGTCAGAGCTGACAGTGTACCCAGATTCAAGGGCAGGGAGCGCCAACCTCTGACGGCTCTGCTCTCCAGGAAGGTCTTGAGAGGAAGAAGGGAGGGGAGCTGGGCCTGGAGGAAGTTTATGGGAGGAAATCAGTGGGAATTTATACACTGGGGGTGGAAGGCAGAGAAAGAGTGCTTCAGAAGAGAGAACAGAAAAACTAAAGAGATGGAGGCAGGAAAGAAGAAACTAGTCAGGCCCCTGGCCTCAGCCCCGATGGTATAGTGTGGACATGGCGCCATTGCTAGTAACTGCTATGGACTTTAAGCCAAGAACTGAAACACAGGTACCAGAGGATGAAGGACATCTGGAAAGAAGGGCAGCTAACTGAAGGGACACAGCAGAGAATCAGAGGCCTTTTGCTGGGAGAGGCAGAACCGACACCCCTCTACTTTCTTGGTCTGGAAAGCTCAAGTAGGTTGTGGTACACCCGACGCAGACTGCTGTCTCCTCTTGGATCTGTTGACTCCCTTCCCTGGGAACGCTGATGAGAGGGGAAGAAGGAAAGACGTTACCTTGAAAAGCTGAACTCCAATGCAGGCGAACATGAACTGCAGCAGAGTGGTGACAATGACAATGTTCCCGATGGTCCGGATGGCAACGAACACACACTGAACCACGTGCTGCAATACGAAGAGGAAATGGGAAGGGGAGAAGGTTTCAACCTAAGCAGCCTTGAACCAATCCCTGGGCCCCTTCAAACCCAGCGCAGGCAGGTCCTATGCTCCAGGTGGTAGAAACCAGGCTCCCGAGGCCAGGAAAGCCTTCCAGAGCCACAGGGATGACACTCATGGAATGCAAAGAGCTGCTTGGACTCTGGGTGATAACGGAGATACAAGTCCTTCTACACTCCTCCCTGAGAGGTGAAAAGACCAAACAGCATTAACTCAAAATGGCTTCTCCCTTGCCCTAACCCTACCTTTGACTCTTACCTACATCGAAGAGTACTATAGTGTGCCTTGTGACATCTGTTTGCTGGGCCAGGTAAGGAACACACAAGGGAAATTTAACTGCCCTGAACACCACTCCCTGGAGCCAGCCCTGTAACTGCCCTTCTAGAAACAAGTCACTAACTTTACCATCCCTGCATAAATCCTAGCCCCTGGCAAAGAGAGCCAACACCTTCCTTAGTGGCCTTTCTCAGCCTATAGAGAATGAATACAATTCTTTGCTTATGCAGTCTTGGTGGCAAAGAAAACTCAGCATTGTGATATTGGCTGTGGTTTCCACCTAACATTGTGGTGGCCTAAACAGAGCCCCCTTGTTTGCTTTCCTTGGTCCCTTTTCACTCTCGAGCTTATGAAGTCTGGCTGATCCAGACTGATCTTCAATGGACAATTGAAGATCTCTGGCTGGGGCTACTCTTCACTGATATCCAAAGGTCTACAGGGTGTGTGATTCTGGACGTTCTGCACCAGTCAGTCCTTTTTGGCTCCTTGTGGAAGGCCTTATTTTACAGTTACAATGAATGGACCACAACTAAGGCTTCAGTGGATCATGAAGGCTGGAAGAACGGACAGCCCACTATAGCCTGTGAGGGTTAGGAGCTGCTTTTTCTTTTTATTCTGGTAATCTCCTGGGATACCCCCCTTAAATCTCCTCAATATTCTTTCTCTATACTCTGCATGCTACCAGATCTCAATGGACCTCCCGGCTGCTGGTGATTACCCTTTAGGAACACTGTAAGTTAAAAGGGGGAAATTTGGCAGGAAGACTGACCTTGTCAGTGGGAGAGAAGGATTTGATTGATTCAGATGGGAAGTTCCTTTACATCTCTCACTTGGTGTGCCCTAGTGCAGCGTCTACCCGCTCCTTCACCTTGTCTGAGACAGCACCGAGAGCCTCTTCAGGGATGGAGTCTTCTTGACTCCCTTCTCTGGTCTCCTTTGACCAGCAAGGGCTTACGCCTCTCCTTGGGGTACTGGTGAAGGTGTGCCCTTTGTTGGCCTTATCCTGTCCTTCTCATTCCTCAGAACCATTTTTTTTCTCTTCTCTAGAAAGATGGCTAATGTTAGTTATAACTTGACAGGATCTGGAACCACCTAGGAGACATCTTCCAGGCACAATTCTGGGCATGCCTGTGAGAGGTTCTGTTGATTAGGTTAGTTGAGGTGGGAAACCCTACAGCAATGTGGGCAGCAACATGGCCTGGGCTTGGGTCCTGGGCTGCATGAACAGAAGAAAGCAAGCTGAGTGCAAGCGCTCTTCACTCTAGTCTCTTACTGTGATGTAACCAGCTTCTTCAGGCTCCTGCTGGTTGACTTTGCTGCCTTTCTGTACTGTGCTCTCGAACTGTGAACTGAAGTAAATAATTCCTGCCTTGATCTCCTCTGTCAGAGTATTTATTTTATCACAGCCAGAGGGAAAAATGCTAAGACACCATAGGTGTTACCATGGGAGATGCTCACCTGATCCCCTTAAACACACCCCTTTGGGCTGTCTACTCTTCTTCAGAGTCCAAGGACACAGAGCATGTGGCTAAAATGTTAACATCTGTGCCTGAGGTTTTCTTTCCTGGCCAGAATTTCTAATCTGAGGAAGACAGACTTTCAGTTTCCCCAGGATGACAAATTTTCCTTCTCCTAACAGCTGATAGTCAAATCCTATATTTCCTGACTTACCCCTGAGACCTTTATATTCACTTCAAGATCAAACTTGTTTACTTAATGGCACATTATGGTTTTTCTATACTTGCAACCACCAGCCAAGTCTCACCTCCTGCTCTGGTTTCCTCCTATGACTTTTCACTCTCCTATCTAGCTTCCTGTCCCTTTGATTTGATGCAAAGCTCTTTCTAAATGCCCAGGCTCACTGCCCAGATGATCTCTCACACATTTGTGTCAGAATTTCATATGAAAAATTCAATAAACAAAACTATCCCTTCTCATTTGAACATCTCTTACGAACACTATATGGCTTATGTAAAAGTAACTTTTATTCACCTGTTAAAATTGTTGTCTCAGGAGGCTTACTGCTTCTGTCTGCTAACCTAGACCTAGTCCTAGAAGCTTCTATCCTTCGCACAATCTAACCTAGGCCTAGAATGTTTTCAGACTCTGTGACTTATTGCTTAATAAGCGCAGCCTTTCTTGTTCTTGCTGAGTTCTGGGCTGGCTGGTTCAATTCAGCTGTTTTGGCTCAAACTCCTCTCCCAGCTTAACTTATTCAATCTGACTTTGCTCCCAGCCTCCGAATTCTCTGCTTGGCCTCAAACTAACTCAAACCATCTGCTCTAATCTTCTGGTTCCTTCTCATTCTCTGGCTCATTTGGTCTTCTCTATCTGTAAGACCTATCTCTCTATTACTATCCCTGTAAAAACTGTGTGCCTCTTTTTCTTAATTGCCCCTAAGTAGCTTCCCTTTCTTCTCTCTTCTCCTGAGAGTGGGCATATCCTATTCTGTCAAATCTTTCTCTGATTCATCACCTTTTTTGCCACTCAATTAGACATCACTTTCAAACACGGGTGTTTCCTTCTACAAACTAACTTTACCTTCATTGTTTGGGAGTAAAGACGTGTACCACCACACCTGGACCTAAGCTTTTCTTTACCTGAAACCTGCTCTATACCAGGCTAGCCTTGAACTGAGAGATCTGTTTGCCTTTGTCTCCTGGATTAAAGGTGTGTTTGTATTTCAGCTGATCACACAGGCCTAGATCTTTGGATATGATCTCTTGCCAGCCAGATCATACAGACCTAGAAGGTTTTTGGATGTGATATCTTGCCAGAACATCCATGTTCTGTATTAAAATTCCTCTACAGGCTTACCCCCATTAGCCTAAGTAATACATAATTATTCACTATCTTTTGCCTTCACCAGGCCCTTCTCAGTGTTTAAGTGAAGCTCTGTATCTTTGAGATATAAATTTTCTACCTGGTTGCTACTAAAAAGCTCATTATGGTTGTGTTGTGTCTGTTCATGGTAATTATTTTTACGCAATATTCTTTATGTGTCACTTTGTGTCCTAAAAAGAACTGAACAAAGTCTGTGGCCACTTCATTTATATATCTCTCAAGAAGGTATCAAGCACTATATTTGGCATGTACTTAGTTTTAAGACTTATATGTATGTATGTAAATGTGAGTATTTTAAAGATTATTTGTAACTGTTACTGACTCTTGAAAAAAACAACGAAATTTCAAGGTCCTTATCTAGCCAAGCCTAGATAAAATAGGACACTAAAATTATGAAACTAAACAAACAAACAAACAAACAAACAAACAAACAAAAAGCAACCTGTCATTTTGAAAACTGATAAACCTACTTAAAGATAGACAATGACATCAAGATTTACAACATAAATATAATTTTTCTTGATATTGTACTTGGAGCAATAACTGACTGTGCCTTCTGGTTTACAGAAGGAGAAAATACAGAAGAAGAAGAAAAAAGAAGAAATACTTTAAATAAAATACTAGTTAAACGATTAAAATCTTTACTATAAAGGTAAGCAGATGACCCAAAAGTAAAGGTGATAAAAAAGATACAGACAAAATGCCTGCTTTGATTCTCTTTCCAGTTGCCATGACCTAAAAGACAAGCCATTGTTTTTAAGCAGAGACGATACCTAAATGCTTATCATAATAAGACTTAAATCCTTAACAATAATTTAAGTTTGTTGAGAAAATATCTCCAGAACTGTTTATGTTTTATGTTTCAACTTCTTGTGTTTTCTTTGACATTTTCATATAAATTGAGGCATATTCAAGTACACGGGTAGAAAACACCAAATAGGTGGTTTGTAGCAAAGTAGGGAAATCTCCATCATAGGGCGTTGATGCCTCCTGATGGCATTCTTAGCCATAGGTGAAAGTTTGGCATCTGTTGCTGTTTTCCAAAAGGACTTACCTAATAATCAGGGGGTGTTAGATTATACACATCGACACTGATAAACTAGTAGTGTTTTCTATCTGTGCAAAGGACAAAGGTGAAGGGATGTTTTGGTTTTTTTTGGCTGGTTATTCCAGTGACATTAATGCCACTATTTGCACCAGTGGGCTAATCCTGCCAGGATAGTCATTCCTTATAGGTTCAGGTCAGCTTGATTTCCCTATGTTCTATGACTCCAGTATATGGTACCTCCAACAGTAGGGTCTTACCATCAAGTTCTGGATGGTAGCCAAGAATAATTACAATAGTCTGTGATATGTGGGGTTTTATGGGACCACACTGGTCACTGAATCCATTCCTAGTACTGGACTCTTTATTTGCTATGCTGTGAGGTCTAATAAGGGCACCGTTCCTACCTCTGTTGGGTAACTCCATGTAAACTATTTTTATATGCGTATATTATATATTTTAGGACTCTTCCACAGTAGTAGGTTTCCATATGAGTCTCTCAAAAGGCTATGAGTGTTAGTTATCCCTTTCCTACCCTGCCAATGTATCCGTACCCCCCCCAAATCCCCTACCCCATTTAATTATTCCTGTTCCAATAAGACATACCCTTCTTCCAAGGCTCAGGGATGACCCTAGAAGAGTGGGCAGAAAGATTGTAGGAGTGAGGGGCAGAGGATGACTGCAACTGTTTTAAGGGTGTAACAGGGAAGTTTCACATATTAAATCACAACACTTGTGACAATACGCCCAAGATCTCAACAAGATCAAGCAAGAAAGACTCCAG